GTGTGTGTGTGTGTGTGTGTGTGTGTGTGTGACGGAGATTCACTCTTGTCACCCAAGCTGGAGTGCAATGGTGCGATCTCGGCTCACTGCAAACTCCACCTCCCGGGTTCAAGTGATTCTCCTTCCTCAGCCTCCAGAGTAGCTGGGATTACAGGTGCCCACCACCACACTTGGCTAATTTTTGTATTTTTAGTAGAGACAGTTTCACTATGTTGGCCAGGCTGGTCTCGAACTCCTGACCTCAGGCAATTCGCCCCCCACTCAGCCTCCCAAAATGCTGGGATTATAGGCGTGAGCCACCACGCCCAGCCCACTTTTTAAAAAGTGGATAGATAATCGCTGTCATTAATACACTTTCACACACTACCCCCCTTTCATCCTGGGCCAGGCTTTCTGACTCAAATGCCTGCCAGACCCTGTTCCTTTGGTGACCCTCCTGGGAGGTGCAAATGTCATCTGTGACATCTAAATTTTTGACACCCAGGTCAATGGGGAGAAGTATCTTCTATTGGCATCAGGCAAGAAATGGGCACCAGATCTCCACTCAGGGGTCTCTCTCCACTCCCGAACCCCCTCACCCTCTCCTACAGCCCAGCCGGGGCACCTGGACATCTGGCTGTTAGTCTCTTCTCCAGAGAATCCCCAAACCCCAAGTTCACCCTCTAGCTGTCCCTGGGCTGTGTGACGTGGGCAAGTCACTTACTTACACTGTCTCTGCCTCAGTGTCCTCAGCAAATAGTGGAGCTGATAGTGCAACCCCAGCCGCAGAGGCTTATGGTGAGAATTCAGTGAAAGAGTTCACGAACTCTTCTTTTGTGCTATCTTAACCCTTCTATTTTAAACTTCTAATTATATAACATGTGAATACATTTATTCACAGATTTCACTTTTGGAAAATCTTAAACGTAGAAAAAAGCAAATGTCATTTTGACCGCGTCTCTCACCACTTTCCCCAGAGGGAACCACGATGGTCAATTGTCTCTCCTTCCAGACCTTTCTATATGCATTTCATAGATATTTGCTATGTTGGCTCCTCTGACATGTATAGTTTTATGGGATCATATGATGTGGATTTTTCTGCAACTTGCTTTTTTCTCATAGTAGCGTCTCTCACGGATGTTTCCACCTCAGTACTGCTGCCCAGAGTTTATTTAAACGCCCCCGTGTTGGTAGAGTTTGGGTTGTTTCAGCATCTCACTGTTAGAACCGACGCTGCAAACAACAGCTAGGGGGGTTGCCTCCACACCTTCACAGAGGCATTTCTGCAGGACAGACACAGTCCACGTGTCACTGTTTATGCTGATTCAACACATTGCAAACCTAGCTTTTTGTATTCAGTGCCTGCCGGCTGGTGGCTCTTAGTTGGCCTTTCCATGGCATGCACTGCCCAGAGCCCCTCAGCGTCACCTTTGGGGCCACATTCAGGGAGGACAACAGACATAAGCCTGGGCCCCGGATATGGCAGGGTCAGGCCAAATGTGTGGCCGGGGGTCCCGGCCAGGTCCAGTGCTGGCCGGTAAGGTGAGGCAGGGAAGTTTGCCTTTGGCGCCTGTGCCCTCTGCACATGCTTCCCTCCTCCCTCCAAGCCCGCTCCTCCCCATCTCCACCAACGTAGGAGTCACCACTAGATAAGCGGCCATCAGCAAGTCACTCAGCTCTGAGACTCCCTTCCTCGTGTGTAAGACCATGAGGACACCCACCTCCCAGGGCAAATGGGGGGAGGGAGATGAGATCAAGTGTTGGCTTGGGGAAGGGCTCTTCAGATGTAAGTTATAGCGTCCTAGTCCCGGGGGGGCCTCCTGCCCCATCCCACGTGCTCCTCCTGCAGGGTCTCCTGTTCAGCTAGCCACTAACTCAACTACCTGCTCTCCTTTCAGGGGCTTGCAGTCAACTCTGTTGCTAGCTCTCAGCCAAGACCCTAGCTACACCCTAAGATGTTAACTCTAACAAGCCATTAGTTAACAATGCTTTCCATCACTAAGGAGATGGCAGCAGATGCCTTTCCCCTGTAAAATGAAGGCACTGCCATGCAGAATCTCTGATCATGTCTTTTGCCTTCATTAGACTGTCAGTTCTATGAGAGCATGTTCTCTGGAACATAGTAGGTGTTCAGTAAATATTATTGAGAATAAATGATGAAAAGACTTGGTTGACTCACAGGCATGAGGTGGCAGTGACAGGTCATACTGGGGTGAAATTTGAAGCAGGCCATCCCAGAGAGCACCACATAGATAAGCATCCATGGCCATAGGCCAAGGGCTGGGCAGAAATCATTTCATTCCTCTTCTCTCCAAGAGAAAAGTCAGCTGGCTGCTCTAGGGGGTCTCCTGCGTGGGTGCTTCTCAGAAGGGCCACCCCTAGAGCTGGACAAGTCCAAGCCTTCCAAGTTGAGAGACCCCATTTCATTAGCTCACCCAGGGGTGACCGGGCTCTGGGAAACCAACCAAGCAAGCTACTGATTGATCAGCCAGATCAGCAGTTTATGGACTCACGCTGGGAGCTGTGACTGCCAAGCGGCCCGAAGCATTCGCACCGGGCCCTGTGCTTGCTCGTTCTCTCTGCCGAAGGAAAGTGTGCTTGGGAATCCAAATCAAATGCAGAAGGAGCAGAGCGGAATAGAGAGAAGTCATAAGAATAGAAATAGTGTTCTTCTGATTGTGGTTAAGAAAATAAGAAAAAAAAAAAAGAACAGAAATAGTGGATGCCACATACACGGTGATAAATCTACCCTCACAACCACATTGTGGTGTGGGCATTGCTGCTATCCCATTTTGTAGATGAGGACACTGAGGTCAAGTGGATGACTCAGCTACCAGCAATGGAGCCGGGCCTCAACCCCAGGCATTTCAACTCCTGCTCCCATCTGGGGTGCCCTTCCCTCAATGCCACTGAGCTCAAGAGTCTGATGCGCCCTGTGCAGGGCTCCCCTCAGCCCTGGGCATGGCTCCCATTTTTGCTCTGTCAAGGCCACTCAGCTCCCCCAGGAACAGTGCTGCCTCCCTGATGAGAAGTAAGAGACACCTGAGTCTCACCAGCAGCGCAGGCACGTCCTCAAGAGGGCACCTCTTTCTGCAGATAATAACAATGAAGCCACATTCATATAATAGCAAGCGTTCATTAACTGCTTACCACGTGTCAGGCACCGTGCCAGGCCCCTTGCATGCATTATCTCATTCCCACAACAGCCTCAGGAGGCAGGCGCGCTCATCTCCCGTTTACACATAGGGACTCACAGGCCCAGAGAGGTGCAATGCTCTGCCCAGGTCCTACCGCTAATGAGTGATAGAGCAGCGCCTGGAGTCCACGTGGATCTGACTTTCAAGCTTGTGCTCCTAATTGCCCCCACTTCCCCGCATTTAAGGGGTGGCCCTGCCTCAATGTCCTGCTTGCTGGAATTGCTCCCTGTTGGAGCCCTGGCCTCTTAGGCATGGGGTGGGGGGCGTTTCACTGGGGCTGGGATTCAACTAGGGTTCCACGGGGCTCACCTATAGTAACTCTGAAGTCTGGGTCTTGGGAGTCAAGGAGTCCATGGCAGGTGTGAAGGAAAGGGAACTGGGCATGACCGCTGCCTCCTGAGCAGGGTCCTTGCAAGGTGCAAGGCCAGGCCCCAAGCCCTTCCTCCTCTATCTGCGTCTCCCATAGCCCCTGCCTCATGGAGTTCCCTCTTCACACAAAGCCCGTCAGGCCTCCCAGGCTTCCCTAGGCTCCTCAGCTAGCAAACTCCTACTCGAGCCCCGGGTGAAATACCACCTCTCCTGGGTCACCTTCCTCCGGCCCGATCAGTAGCTCCTCCTTCATAGCCCTAATTGTGCATTTTTTGGGTTTTCTTGTAATGACCTGTAAGTGTTCCCCATGACACTGTGAGCTTCCCCAAGGCAGGCGCGGCTTTGTGTTTCTCGTCTCCTGCTCTCAGACAGTCCCTGGCATGCAGCTGTCACCCCATGCATACTTGTTGTATAATGAATGAGTTTCAGAGGACCCCGGGAACACGACTTTCATACACAAGTGACTGAAGAGCCCAGTTAACAAAAATGTGAATCAATGTAAAGAATTCCAATCCCATGTGGACCAGTGCTGCATAACTTTTGAGACACTGGTGGACTTTTTGACCTCTTTCTCCAGAAAAGTGCACCACGCCTGCCAAATTTCAGACGCTACTTCTCGAGGGTTCTGCTCCTAGGCTTGGAGCCCAGAGGAAAGCTACATGGGAAGGGTAGGCGGGGGGCAGCAGGGTGACACAGTGCTGTCTCGAAGGGAATCTGTTCATAGTCCATTAGGCCAAGCAGGGCTCCAGGGGAGAGCCTGTTTCCTCGGAGGAAATGCATTAACCCTGTGTGCCGTTAGTAGCAGGGCAGAATGGTTACACTTGGGGCTCCGGAGCTGGCCTGTTCAGGTTCAAATCTTGGCTTTGCCACTTTCCAGCTGTGTAAACTTGGGCAAATAGTTAAGGTCTCTGGGCCTCATTTCCTGTAGGAAGAATCTGATTCTTACTTGATGGGGATGCCAGCAGCACTGATGGGCTGATGACTGTCCAGCACAATGCTTGGGGCCTGCTCACCATTACCTGAAGAGTTCACCTTCCTCTGAGAGCAGGGTCCCAAGGGAATGGAAAGAAGACTAGACCTCAGCTTGAAGGTCCCCTCCTCCAGGAAGCCTTCCCTAACTCCCTGCCACACTCACGTAGGTGAGGTTCCTTGTTATCAGCCCCACTGCTCCCTGGAACCCTGTTCTACTTGTCATTCCTCTAGACTCTAAGCTCTGTGAGGACAGGGACCCTGGCTGTCTTGTTCTCTGCTGTATTCCTGTGCCAGGCAAATAGCAGGTGCTCAGTAAATAGCTGCTGAATAGAATTAGGGATAGAAGGTGTCACAGGAGGGTCACTGGGCAGCCAGGCAGCAGGTGAGGGGAATGAAATTGGGAGTGAGCCTAAGGGGGGCACCGTAGTCAGGGTCACACTGCCTGGGCCTCTGACCTCTCTCTCTCTCTCCTCACTTCTCCAGTTCCTGGCACTGGACACCCAGTTGCTGATGGGTAACCGACGCCACTCGCTGAGCCCCGAGGAGTATATTTTTGGAGCCCTCAACATTTACCTAGACATCATCTATATCTTCACCTTCTTCCTGCAGCTTTTTGGCACTAACCGGGAATGAGGAGCCCTCCCCATCCCCCCATCCTCCAGAGAATGTGCCCCCTCCTGGTTCCCTGTCCCTCCCCTGCGCTCCTGCAAGACCAGATATAAAACTAGCTGCCAACCCAGTCTGTGGCCAGGCTGCTGTACCCCAGCCCGGCCCGGCCCAGCCCAGCCCTCTGCTGCTTGTACATACGCCATGGGGACCCTAAGGAACTGAGGCCACATCACCCCCCCTTGACACCCTGTTCCCCACATTACATCTTCCAAACCGGGACAGTCAAGGCTGAAGGTTCCTCTGGGTTTGAGGGCCCAAGGTACAAGTGGGAGAGGCATAGCAGGATTTCAGATGCGGGAGAGAGACCCCGGGAGCCCGATGGAGCCCTGAGCCCCCACAGTTCCTCCCAGGGCCGTACAACCATGTGACCTTGGGGCACACTGTTCTGTGTCCAGTCTATGTCCTCCTTTCTCGTCCAGGTCAGGTGTTAACACTTTGTAAGAAGCGGGGGAGGGGGATGTGGCTGGGCAGGTAGAGTGGGCAGGCAGGATGGTTGTCCCAGGCTGCCCATTTTCTCTTGGCTCTGATTTGGATCAGGAGGCCAAGGGCAATGGGAGAGGACTGAAGCCTGTGCTGTCTGTTGCTTGCTATGAATGACCCTTCTGGGTCATGACAGAGCACTGTTGGGGCAGGAGGTGAGGGCTGGGGACCCTGCTCCTCAGTGATGGCCTGTCCTAGGGCTCCCAGGGAGGCAGGAGCAGGGCAGCCAGTCAGGAGGTCTGAGCTCTGCCAGCCTCGCCAATCCACCCAGACCAGCACCCACCCAGAAGCATTTGGGGTTGCAGGACCAAGGCCCACATCCTCTCACTCTCTTCTCTCCACCCACCAGGCTGTGTGCACAGGCCTGAGGCTGAGCGGGCGTGTTGGGCCCTCCGGCTTGATGTTCTGGGGGAGGAGGCGATCCTTCTAGCTGCTAGGCCAGGCCCATCTGGAAGGAGTCCTGCTCTGCCCCAGCCCTAACCCGAGGCTGTGCCGAGTCCCTTCTGCACCTCTCAGTTCCTACACCCTCCCCGTGGGCTGCTGCTGGCTGGCTCGTCCCCAGCCAGGCCTCCTGAGGCCTTCGTAGTTGGCAGCATCCACATCTCTCCTAGCTTCACTGGCCACTCACTCAGCCCAGAGTCCCTAAGTGCCCCCAACGCCACTTATCTCTGCATCTCTCCAATTTGAAAGCCATCCAGCTGATGCTAACAGCCAGGGCCAGTCCCTCCAGCTGGTCCCATGTAATGAGGCCAGGGCTCCTTATCAGCTTCCAGGCGGCTGGGATCTCAGGCAGGGTGTGCGTCAGCCCTCCAACCCCCGGAGGGGCGCCTGCCAGGGAGAGGACCAGGAGGCCACACCTGGGGGAGCGTGCAGCCAGCAGGCGCAGTGGCCAGCTCCAGGCCAGTGGAAAGTTACTGTGAGGAGATGGGAAGGCTCTGAGCGGATAGCAGGACCCTCTTTTGGCTTCGCCCTCTGGGGTCCTCTTTCTCTCCGGTGCTGGGAGCTCCATCTGCCCCGGGAAGGGTAACGAGGTGTACTAACTGTGCCTTCCCAACCCCATCCCTCCCTGTCCTTCCTACTCGCTTTTAAGAAGCACTGCCGAAGCGTTTGAAGTGTTGTTCCATCTTGGGAATTTGAAGAGAAAAGGAGCCAAGAACTGGCGGGTGGTGTGTGCGGCAAAGGCACTGGGGGCATGGGTGGGATGCCCACTGTGTGCTGGTCTAAACGAACCCATCGCAGTGACCCCCCAGAGGCAGCACTCCACTCATGCCGATCGCAGAGGGAAAAGCCGAGGGGCTCAGAAAGGCTCGGTAATGTGTCCCAGGTCATACCGCTAGCTAGTGGCGGGCCTGGGGTTCAGACCCACAGCTGCCTCACACAAACGGTATGACACTTGCCTCTGTGCCTGGGTGGGGGCCAGAATGAGACCAATGGGAGCCCAGAGAGGGAGGTGGTCAGGCCCTGTTGTCCCTGGGGATTTCTTGTCCTCAGTGCCGCCCCGGTCTCCTATCTCTCCCAAAATCCCTTGCCAGATTTTGCACCCTGAGGTTTCTACCATCCAGACATGAGCTGGGAGGCAAGATTTCTGGTTCCTAGCCCCACTACCAGTGGGCTCCTGTTATTAGATGAGGGTTTCCTGCTGTCTGGGATTCAGTTTTTCCATCTGCCACATGGAAGTTCATAGCCAGGATGGGACTCGAGAGGCACCAGAACACTTCTCTCTGCTGACTTCCTCTCCCAGCTCCCACTCTCCTCCACCTCCGCTCCTCTCAGCCCCTCGGTTTCCTCTCCTGGTCACTGGCCTCAGTTCCAGAGGGGTCAGCCCCAGCACCTCACGGTCCTGCCACTGTCAGATGGCCATGCTTCCTAGAATCTACTTGCCCAAGTTCTCCTTTCCCTGGGATAAGTTATGCAGAAACTGGGGATTTAGAAATTTATTCAGGGCTGAGTGCCAAAGGCTTGGGGGAGGAGGAGCAGGCCCTTGGCTATAAACGGTGAACCACACGCATCACAGCCATTTGAGAATTGGCTTATTTGTGAGCTGAGGAGGCTGGGCAGAAGATGCTGAAGCCTCCTACTCCTGGTTCCTGAGTGGAGGGGTCCCAGGTACCACAGTGTCAGCAGCAGAGTCCAGGCCAAAGTCTACACGTTCCATCTCCAGGCAGTGGGGAGCCCCGAAACACCAGGAGAGGTGTCGGAAGGAGGAAGGGCGGGAACAGGAATGCAGGATTACAGGAAACCGCAGCTGAGTAGATGTCACAGCTGTAGAGGAGGAAGGGAACCTGCGGGCCCCTCACATTTTTGGCCTGGGTGGGGCTGGGCCTGGGAAGGGGCGGGCTGGGTTTTGTAAAGCTGGAGGCAGCCAGGAATCTGATCATCTGCAATGTGAGGTGAGGGGTCTCCCACTGAAGTCCTCTCCTAGAAGTGGCAGATGGGGGCTAGAGAGGCACACGCGAGTCTGGGACTCATTCCCAGGGAACACCTATGGCTATTTCTGTATCACCTGGGGAAGCCCCAGAATCTTAGTTCTTCCATTCTCTACCCTTCCTTCTGAAGGAGTCAGGATGGGACAGACACCTGTTTTCCAAAAGGCTGGTATCTCCCTCCCTGGCCCACGTGAGGCAAAGTCCCAGGTGTCCTAGCTGCTCTCCTGTGTGGGTTGGGATTTTGCACAAGCACTTTTCTGCCCTCTGGTGGCTGCTTGAGGAAACGCGGGGCCTGGTTGGGAGCATCACCGAGGGCCCATGTGGCTGGAGGCTGGGGCAGGATCGGGCCAACAGCTCTTCTCAGACAGCCCTAGACCCATCTTCTCATCAGCCACCACTGAGCCCTTTTGCTGAACGACGGTTGCATCTCTCAGACACAGTGTACCCCCGCCTGAGCCCTCCTGAGTGCCTGAGGGCAGACACAGCCCCAGGGACCTGGCCCCGCTACCATACCCCAGACACTCCTGCTGTCCACTGGCCTCAGCTCCTGCAAGCAACCCACTGTCCACGCCTTTTCCCTTCCCTGGCCTCACCTTCCTGGGGTCTGTGACTGACTGGAGATAAAAATAAAAGCAATTCTGACACCCGAGCCGTTTCCCTCGTCTGGCGTGCACTGGTGGCCTCAGATGCTCGTGGAGTCTGTGTGGGTCTAAGATGGACCTATGTGAGAGCCTTCTCACCAGAGCTGCTGAATTTGAAGTAAAATCTCCACGTTTATTTTCATGTGGACAGAGTTAAATTGGTCCTCCTGTTCAATAACCCTGTATGGAGGCTATCTGGATCCCACAGTTGGAAGCAATCCCAGAGGCTCCTCTGGACCAGGGACTCACCCCTTTCTATGGAAGCCTGTCCATTTGTGGGCCATTCTGGTAGAAGGGTCTTTCTTATTTTGAGCCAAAATCTGCTTCCTAACAGGTACACGGGAGGAAGAAATGCCTGGGTTGCACCTGGACAGATTCTCCAGAGCAGCAGTTTTAAAACCACAGAACCTTGACCAGGCACAGCGGTTCACACCTGTAATCCCAGCACTTTGGGAGGCCGAGGCAAGTGGATCACCTGAGGTCAGGAGTTCAAGACCAGCCTGGCCAACATGGTGAAACCCCATCTCTACTAAAAATACAAAAATTAGCTGTGTGTGCTGGCGCACACCTGTAATCCCAGCTATTCGGGAGGCTGAGGCAGGAGAATTGCTTGAACCCAGGAGGCAGAGGTTGCAGTGAGCCAAGATTGTACCACTTCACTCCAGCCTGGGTGATAGAGCAAGACTCTGTCTCAAAACAACACAACAAAACAAAAAAACCTATAGAACCAGAGTTCCTTGAAGGCAGAGGTACAGCACACGGTCTCAGTAAAGAACTTTCCTGTAAATGGAGGAATGCATGGGTGAATGTGTCTACTCCAACCCTCTATTTTATCTGAGAGGAAACTAGGGAGCAGAGGGTGCCATGACTTGTCCAAGTTTACCCACAAATTAGTGACAGGGAGTGGGGTCAGGAGGCACATGGGCTAATGATCACCCCACAAGCTCCTATGGGGAACGTGAGGCCGGGGCGCTGTGTGGGAGGGGAGGGAACACCATCACACTGGAGCAGGGGGTGGGGGGACTTATCCTTGTCTCTGACAAGTTTAGGGCACAAATTCTGCTGGAGCAGGGAAAGGGTCTGGGGCAAGCATTAGGGGACTCTGAGAAGAGAAAAGTGACTTTTATTAAGCACTCACTGTATACAAAGCACTTCCACAGAGAGTGAGAGATAGGAAAGGGAGACGACACCAGCAGTGGTGCAGGACACAGACCAGGCGCTGTGCTCGAGACCGTGCCGCTGTGGGTCCTGAGAAGACGCAGGTCCCGGTGAAGCGGTGCTGAGCCGTGGCGCCATGGAAAGGGAAGGCCCCTGGATCAGGGCTCAAAGCGTGCAAAATATTGAGGGCCAGGGCTGGTGGGACCGAAGGGATGGGTGGTCTAGATTGGGGACACGCTGGGCCCCCTTGCCGCCTCCTGCCTCACCAACCATTCCTATCTGGACTGCCTGCTAGCTTCCTAGGACTGAGGTACAAACTGCCACAAACTGGGTGGCTCAAAACAACAGTGATCCATTCCACCACAGTGTGGAGGCTGGAAGCCTGAAATCAAGGTGTCAGCAGGGTGGGTTCCTGCTGGAGGCTCTGAGGGAGGGCCGTGGCAAGCTCTCTCCAAGCCTCTGGCAGCCGCAGGCAATCCGCAATGTTGCTTGGCAGTGGTGCCTCCAGTCTGTGCCTCCATCTTCACACGGCCTCCTCCTCTGCGTCTGTGTCTCAAAGCTCCCTCTCCTCTCTCCTAGAAGGATCCTTTCTCTGGATTTAAGGCTCACCACAAATCTAGGATGAACTCATCTCAGGTACAGGAGTTTAGAACTTGGACATATCTCTCTTGAAGGGGTCACTATTCAACCCTCTACACCATTCATTCTCTTCTGGCTGCTACTGCCCCATGGTATGCATCCCCCACCCACGGGACAGTCCTGACATACAGTACCCAGCCCCCAGTGAGGCTGGAGAAATTCCAGAGCTGAGCAACCTCACCCAGCTCACTCACTCCATCTGTCTTTACTCAAGTCTGGCTACTCCCAGCAAACCTGTTTGCCTCACAGAGTGAGTGTGTGTGTGTGTGTGTGTGTGCGCGCACGTGTGCACACACACTCACACCATGGATGGCTAAGATGCTTTCTTCCCAGCGTCTCATCCCCCACTCCTCTCCACACCCTCTGCTTGCTTTATCTGGGAAAACCCTGCCAAGAGGAGTGAGATTCGCCTGTCCCAAATCACTTCTGTCCCCCTCTGCTGACTTCTTTTTCTCCTGAGCCACTGTGTAAGAAGTCCAATTCCTGAGGCCACGGTGCCAGAGAGGCCATGTGTGGTGCTCCAGCCAAGAGACCCAGCTGAGCCAGCCTCCCAGCCATGCCCTCCAGGCTGGCAGCAGCTATAGGCAGGAAGAACCATCTTGGAAGTGGATTCTCCAACTTCAGCTGTTCCAGCTCCCATGCACCGCGTCTTCCTGGTTGAGGTCCAAGACCTCATGGAGCATAGAAAATCCATCTCCTCCACACCCTATCCAAATTCCTAATTCACAGGATCTGTGAGAATAATAAAATGGTTGTGGTTTTATGCCACTAAGCTTGATGTCATTTGCTATGCAGCCACAGACTCCTGGAACAGGATTCGGTACCTGGAAGCAAGGCACTGCCATGGCAGAAGCTAACACAGGTGGGAGGCGCCGGACAGCCTCAGTGAGACTGCGAGGGAAAGCTGGCAGCGCCTTGAGGAGACTGTGGGTGAAGGCTCAAGAGAAAGTTGAGGGAAGCATTATTGGAATCTGGAGGAACACAGACTGTGATGTAGTGGTGGACAGTTGAGGGAAACTTTCATCGGCACTAATGTGGAAAGTAGAAGAGGTGTCTCATTAACTGATGACTCTGGCTAGGATTTTCAGGCAAAGTGTTGAAAGTGTCTGTCTGGCTTATTTGAGCCTTGTATCCCAAGATACAGATAGTGGGAGAAAAGCTAAAGAAAGAATAATTCTGTGTTTAAGCAGAATTTAGAGGCGATATAAAAAGACCAAGATAATCTTTCCAGCCAAGAAAGA